CCGAGGTGTACCGCAAACCCACCCACACAGACCAGTATTTTCAGTTTCAGACCGTTTCTCTAAAGCTGCTCACTTTGTTCCCCTTCCTAAGCTCCCTTCTGCCCTCGAGACCGCTCACCTTCTTACCCTTCATGTTTTCAGGCTCCATGGGATCCCTTTGGACATCGTCTCCGACCGAGGCCCGCAGTTCATCTCCCAGGTCTGGCACACCTTCTGCAAGTCGCTCGGGTCGTCCATTAGCCTTACCTCTGGCTACCATCCTCAGGCTAACGGGCAAGCTGAGCGCTGCAATCAGGAGTTGGAGTCCACCCTGCGTTTCCTGGTCGAGTCCAATCCTTCGTCCTAGAGCCAACATTTGGTTTGGGTGGAATATGCCCACAATTCTCACCATTCCTCTGTCACCGGTATGTCCCCCTTCGAGGCCTCCCTTGGGTACCTTCCTCCTCTTTTCCCCAGTCTTAAGCTCGACTGCGCGGTCCCATCTGTGCTGCATCACTTCCGGCGTTGTCGTCGCATCTGGCGCCAGGCTAAGGTGGCCCTCCTTAGGACCGCGGCCCAGGCTAAATGGTTCGTGGACTGCCACCGTTCAGCGACACCCGCCTACCAGGTCGGCCAGCAGGTTTGGTTGTCCACCAGGGACATCAAACTGCGGGACACCCCCGCAAGCTGGCCCCCCGCTTCATTGGGCCTTTCCCCATTACCCGCATCATTAACCCCTCTGTGGTCCGTCTCCAACTCCCCAGGGCCATGAGGATTCACCTGACCTTCCATGTTTCCCAGGTCAAGCCTGTTTCCCTCAGTCCCTTGTGCCCCCCTTCTGACTTCCCCCCGCCGCCCCGCCTGATCGACAACTACCCTGCGTTCACCGTCAGATCCATCCTGGACGTGCGACGCAGGGGTAGGGGTTTCCAGTACCTGGTCGATTGGGAGGGGTACGGTCCTGAGGAGAGGTCATGGATCCCCAGGTCCTTTATCCTCGACCCCAGCCTCATCTCCAGGTTCTTCAGAGACCACCCCGAGAAGCGCCTCAGGTCACCTGGAGGCGATTCTTGAGGGGAGGAGAGGGGGTACACTGTAAGGGTCCCACTGCCTGCAGCCTGCCTTGCTGATGGCTACTGATTAACAACACCTGGCGGTTATCAGCCTGATGAGCCTCTCCATCTACAAAAGGCTGCAGCCCAGTGTGACTCATCGCTGGAGCATATCACCTCTCATGGTATAGTACTGTTGAGCTAGATATGTCTAGGTGAAAAGAATTTGTTCACCTGTGTTCTCTTTTCCAGTTTCTTGGTTCCTCGTGTTTTTGGATCTCCTCGTGACCTGATCTGGATCCCTCGGCCTGTCAGGTATTCCTCGTGCCATTTTTGGCTCCAGTTGCCAGCCTTCCTCGTTCCTTTGGACCCTTGTTGGATTTCCCTCT